AGCCATTATTCAGGGGCGAGTCAGGCTTTTGAGTGGTGGGGGGCGGTATTTGGACACAGGGTTTAATATTTGTAGGTGGGGTTTGGTATTTGGCGATAGTGTTTTGGGGGTTTAGTATTTGAGGCAGGAGCCGGTATTTGGTGGAGGCCGGTATTTGTGGGGTTGGGTCAGTATTTGGGGTCAGGTGTTTATTTGGGGGTGAGGATTAGGTATTTGAGGACAAGGGTCTGGGGGTGGGGTTCAGTATTTAAGGGTGGGGTTCAGTATTTAAGGGTGGGGTTCAGTACTCAGGGGTGGTGTCTGGTATTTGGGATGGGGTTTGGTGTTTGGATGCAGAGCAGGTATTGGGGGGATCCGGTATTTTGTGGGGCCAGTGTTTATTGGAGGTGGTATTTGGTGTTTTGGGGCAGGGTTTGGTATTTGGGTGGGGTTTAGTATTTTAGAGTGGGGTTAATATTTGGGGGCAGGGGTCATTATTTGATGGTGGGATTTCGGGTTGGGGTAATTATTTTGGGGGTGGGTGTTTGGGGTGGTCGGCATTTAGAGGTGGTGGTCGGCATTTAGGGGTCATGGTCGGCATTTAGAGGTGGGGGTCTTGGGAATGGAACAGACACTCAATGCATAGACATTACAAATTTGGAGTTTGGTCAATATTTGCAGATGGGAGTATATATTTAGGGAAGTATTTGGGGAACCCGGTGTTTGTGGAGGGGTTTGGTATTTTGCTGGGAAGTCAGGACTAGAAGGTGAGGGGTTGGTATTTTCAGTCTGGTTTGGTATTTGGGGTGTGGTTTGGTATTTGGGGTGTGGTTTGGTATTTGGGGTGTGGTTTGGTATTTGGGGTGTAGTTTGGTAATTGGGGACGGGATTTGGTGGTGGAGTTTGGTATTTTGTGGGGTGGGGTCAATATTTTGGTGATGGGGTCAGCATTTGGAGAATGGAAGTGGGCGTCTGGGGAACGGAAGTGGGCGTCCAGGGAACGGAAGTGGGCGTCCGGGGAACGGAAGTGGGCGTCCGGAGAACGGAAGTGGGCGTCCGGGCAATGGAAGTGGGCATTTGGAAAACGGAAGTGGGCGTCTGGGGAATGGAAGTGGGCATTTGGGGTACGGAAGTGGGCATTTGGGGTACGGAAGTGGGCATTTGGGGT